AGAACTGCCCCATCACCATCACTACCACCAGCATGCCCACCGCACCATCATTACCACCACCACTACCACCCCACCACCACCATAATTACCCCTACCACCACCGCCATTGTCCTACTACCACCCCTACCACCATCATCCCTAACACACCACCACTACCAACGCCCCCCCCCCACTACCCCCCCACAACCATCACCAATACTACCGCCACCACCACCATTGCCACTCCACTACCCTACCACCACCACCATCGTCGTCGCCACCATCCTCACCATTGCCACCACTCCCACCACTACCACTAACATCGCCACTCACCACCTATTGTTACAACCGTCGTCCACCGCCACACCCATCACAAATCGTCATCTCATTCTTACATTTATTACCACTACTACCATCATCTCATTTCTACCGTCACCCACTATCAGCACCCACCATGATCATTGTTGCCCACCATCATAAGTCATCCCCCATCATCATCGCCTGCCACTGTCACCCACACCCACCACATTTACCACAACCAACCACCACCATCCATCATCACTTATCACTACCGCCACCCCCCACCCCCACTACACCTACCATCACCACCACCACTGCCATTCACTACCATCCATCACATTGTTGTCCAAAAACACTCGTCGTCGTCCATCATCACCTTTGTCACCGCCCACCACAGCCAACACCACTGTCGTTGCCCTACTACCACCACTGTCAACCACCATCGCTGTCACCCACCACCATAACTAATATTATACATAGTTGTCACTACCACCATCATCACCCAAAATTCACAACCACCATCACTGTTGTGACCCACAACTACCACCACCGTCATAGTTGTTGTCACCTATCACATTCATCATCGTTTCTCACCACCACAACTATCACCGTTCACCACCACTACCACCGGTGCTTAAATTTCTTTCTTTCTCCTCTTTGTTTGTGATTTGATTTTGGGTGTAAATATAAATATGTTTATTATTGACTATTTTTTTATTACTCCGTGCCTTTAGGCATGAGAAATAACTATTAAATTTATGTTTGATTCTTATATGAGATTAGTGTATAAATTATACACCATGTCATTATTGTATACGTGTCATGTGTTTTCACAAATACAAATCATGTAAAAATACATCTATTTTTTATTTAAGAAATAAAAAGTACAAACACACTAATATACAAACACACACACAGTGTTAACACATAATATAATTCTACGATTGTTATATGAGTTTGGGTTTAGATGTGTCGGTGTTTAATGTAAATAAGTAATTAGTTAAATGTTAAAAAAATAAATAACATATTTTTACCCAATGTTAATATTATTTTCATTCATTTTTCACCTAATTTTGGAGAGATTGATTTTTATGAGTTGAAAGAAAAGTTAATCAATCCACTTTCCATCTTTCCTATCTTCCTTTATTATCAAACATGTGTTTTATATCCTCTAACTTTTCATCCTTCTATTTTTCCATCATACCAAACAAAAAATTGGGGACTTAATTCATGTAATCATTAAATGAAAAACGGACTACACTTAACATTTAACTCATAACTTATCTAATGACTCCATTGACTTAGATATCCTTATAGCATTGTTGTGACTACAGATATGAGCATGGTACATACTTCTTTGGATGCAAATCCAGAGCATATATATATATATATAGCTTTCAATTTAAAAGTCCTCTCTCTCTCTCTCTCTCTCTCTCTCTCTCTCTCTCTGTGTGTGACGAAGAGGACGATGAATGTTGCCTGACAGAAAACATGAGATTCAGCTTCTCTCTTCCTTACAATCTGTACCTCATGAATTTGCTCCTTTTGATCTCCTAAATTAAACATGCTCAGAATTTTGTTATCTCACGTTTCTTAGCTGCATCGTTGTAAGCTGTTAATCTCAAGCGTTACCTTAGTGGTATTTGTAACGCCCCAAATACCCCCTCGGACGGCATTACATTCTAAAACCTTTCACAATCATGAGAGCACTAAATAAATCCATAAATAAGAAATTTTTATCCATCAACCATTGATATTTTAACAAAATTCGGGCAGAGTCTCCTTTGTACGGGGAGCTCTACCACAAAATCCAACCTGTGCAATTCTACTATAATGACCACACCGGGTCCAATTAACTACTATATAATCAATCCATCAAATTTACATGTTAACCCAAAAAAAAATATGCCCACAATGGCATGTACATTCCCAAAGAATTAAACTATGATAAGCAGCGGAATTTCAAAAGAGAACTAGACTTTACAATCTTTCAAAAAAACATAGCCTAGTCTAGAACAAAATAGAAGGGCCGCTCTAGGCGTCCACCTCGGGATCTACGCTCCCGTCGATCGGAGTCTCCCAAAGAACGGGCTCCTCGACTCCTGGCTCCTCCTCAAGGATATAGTCTGAAAAATGTTAACAGTAGGGGATGAGCACTAGGCTCTGTAGCAAAATCTTCCCAACTCCAACAAGGTTTATAAAATACAAAACGGGTCGGTCACATTTCATAAATAACATATATGAATTTGAAGTAAAACGGGACATTTTAAATAGATCTCAAGTTTAAGCCATACAGTAGTTAAGGAGAGAAATAAATTAAGTTTAACCATAGCAAACCATTTCCAACATTAAGTCAATTAGGAGGGGCTCCCTCCGATGCATCGTCCCATACCAATGCACCGGCCAAGCCATTCCAGCCAATCATCACATTTATGTTGGTTCATCCCCGTACCATGTATGTTGATTGTTTCTCATGAATCTACCCAACGATTATACCTAGTCCACCCATTTATAATCACAATCACAAGTACTTAGGGAAGGGGCGTCTACCATCCCAATGGCAGTGACGAGTCCCTCCCCAGGAATGGTATACCAACCCTAGTTCGAACTCCAGGCGTACGATAGTGGTCGCATTACCAAATGACAACTCACTACAAGTGCAAGAAACCATCTCCCCCCCCACTGGGTTCGACTGACATTTACACTCTACGGCATATCTCGTAGGTAATCCAAGTCCCTCCCAACCACCATACAATGAGTAAACCAACATATTCTCAATCAATTCACATTTTACCAATTAATCGCAAAATACCCAAATTTCACAAGTAAAGCGTCATAGCAAGATGGAATTAAAATGAGCAAAAGATCAATATAAAGATCATTTTCGTTGAACAATATCGAACACTAAATTTATAAAGTGAGAACCAAGGCAATATATGGAGAAAACTCAATTTTTCTTAAAACCAAGTTTGGAAGATGAAAAAGAGAAATTTAATGGTTACCAAACCATCCCATTATTCAAACATAGCATTTATTACAAGGAGAATTAAGAATCATACAAATCATATCAAATAAATATGGATGGGAGTGGAAAACATATGTATATACCTAAACCCTAGCCTCAATGTAAGAAATTAGGAAGAAATCCCCTACCTCTTGGTTGTAGCTTCAATCTAAGACCCAAGATTCAAAATCTTCCTATTCTCCTTCCTTTTCCTCTTAATTTCGTCCTCCTAGGGTTTCTAGAGATTTGGGTGTGAGTGGTTGAGGAATAGAAGCAAAAGAAATGGGTGGAGAAGAGAAAACTTGAGAAATTCGGTTTTGATCTTTATGAGGTGGGAATCTCTCTTGACCTTGGTGTTTTTCTCTCCCTTTTCTCTTCTCTTAGGGCTCTAAGGTATTTAGAGTGGAAGGGAAATGAAGAATGGGAGAAATAGGGCTTGGAATGGGTGTTTTAAAACCCAAAAATCCCGACTTTTACTGTTCATCGTCTGTTTTGGGGGTTTTCCAGACTTACTGTTTTCCTTATTTTTGATCATGATAAACTTTGAATCTGAAAAAGTGCAAAACATAAAAGTTGTAGATCTAGATGTCTTCTGCATTGTGTCAAAATTTCAGCTCAATCGGACCATTGTAGCAAGAGTTATGACGATTCTACGACAACTGGTCCGGAGTAGGCAATGTACCCGGAGCAGCGCCCCAGCGCCCATTTGGGCGCCCCTTTTCACTTCCAATCCTTCCAACTTTAATCCTAACTTATCCTACATACTTTTCTACATCGACCTAATTAGTTCAAGTTCTTTTATGATTTATTTTGTACATTTTCATACCGAAACTAATCTTTTAACTACTCTTTCCTTGAGTTATACTATTTTATCATTTCAAATGAAATAATTACTGAACACCTATGTCTTTTATTTTATTTTTTTTTTTAAACGCATGTGGGGTATTACAGTATTTCAATCACGTGATAAACTACCTTTTATGAGGGGTAAATTAAGAGTTCGAATATCCTATGAAACGTAGTCTCTTAGGATTACTATCTATAGATTTATCTCTTTGTGTGAAGATACAATTTTACATAAGGTCCAACATTAATTTGGTACATGAGCGAAAAAGTATTACGGTAATCTAATGTGACAATTGAGATAAAAAAAAAAAACGATGTAAGTTGTGATTTATTGGAAATGGGTGCATGAACTCATTTTTGTTAAAGGGGGTTTGTTTGTGAGTGATTGGTGTGGGTCAAATTATGTAAGGTATGGAGTTTAAATTACTAATAATTGAAAGAAAGAATAAAATTGAAGCAAGGGTTGGCAACAAGGTCCTTGTCAAACTGAGGCACTGCCTACTCTATATTATATGTTATACAAAGAGCAGCAAATCAGCCGGATTAGTTTTCCAATTGGCGGGTGCTTGTAGCCCGTAGCCTAAATCTTTTTGGTAGTTGTTATCACGCAGAAAGAAACGTTTTTGCTCATGCTTGCATCACCATACTTTTTTTGTAATAATAAAAAAAAAAAGATAAGATCCTACTAAGAAGTTTAATAATTATAATTATAATTATCACTACACCATATATACGATCTCAAGAGTTTAGATTAGATTCTAATAATTTCATTAATTACTCCTCCAATCCTTATCCCACAAAAACCCAAAACTCGTGAATGATAATCTGAGTACCCATAAGTCCAAAACCTGAGAATCTGAAAGTAAAATCATCAATCATCAGGATATAAAGGAGGGAGGCACCTGAAGCTTAACTGCAATTGAGTTACCCAAAATGCTAGAGTACGTGGGAACCAAATATTTTGGGATCGAATGATACTCCCCACGTCACCTTTGTGCACCATCACTCTTAAATTATTTGATGTGGCACAATTATATTTATTAAATATTTAATAAATTATGTGAAACTTATTAATTTAAAGATATATTAAAACGGTGCGTTACATTGTTATTTTGGATCCTTTTACTTTCTTGGTTGTCAAGGTGCCATTATGGACTATTAAATTTTGGTCCCTAATTATTATTTTCTTACAAGGAGATCCACGTGTGCATAAAAAAACACACTGCAATGCATGCCCCCACGTATGTAGCCCAAGGAGACCAGATCTGCAGCTCTGTGAAAAAAAAAATTAGGGATAATTGTACTATTAAAAAAAAATTGTAATGGTATCAATTATTATTATTTTTAACTAATTAAGTTAATTTATGAATAATCATGAAATATAAAATATTGTGATGGATCATAAATTACTTAAATGAGTTTTAATTTTTCATTGAAGAGTTGTAAGTTCTCTTTAATTAAATTATAACTTAATCTTTAAAAAATTTAATTTTCATGATCAAATTATGATATTTGGGGATCAATCATATTTTTTATAATTATAATTTACACTTTAAAAAAATTATAAATTTTGATAAAAAAATTACAACTTCTCTTTTTTTTTTTTTTTTTTTTCCCTAAAGGTAAAATTGTTTTACTACGTTCTGTTACTAGCAAAAATAAATTTATTATTTACAAAAGTATACTTACATTTAACTCTTTTTAAACCTCAACAATAGGAAACACGTACACTAAGCAAGCTCTTCAATAAGTAGTAAATGGAAGGAGCAAAAACGAAAAATTGAATTCTTTTCAATTACGTTCATGCATCAAAGAAGAAGAATGGCGGATCATTTCCTCGGCTTCACGTGGGGTGGGTGAGATGGTGGGACTGGGAAGGAAATATTGTAGAGAGAGAGAGAGGGGGATGGGAGAGAGAGAGAGATTATAGCGGCCTTGACTCATCACACTGTCAATGACTTGAAATTGAGTGCAAGGATAAACACTAAATATGAAGTAGATATAAATCCAACAAAATTTTCTTCATGGAATAGATCCAATTATACTAGAATAGCTATTTATGTAACTCGTAATCACAATTCAAATAGTATTAAACTTGTCGAAAAAAGGGTACTAAAATTGAGTGAAATTATACTGTTTCAGTAGCAGCACCACCGCCACTAGCCTCACCGCCGCCACCACTACTACGTCCACCACCAACATTCTCTGCCACAGTAGTGGCCGTGGGCGTTGGCCTTTTTCGCTTCTTTTTCTCATAAGGTATCCCTCTGGCCTTGGCCTGACTTTCTTTCACCTCCCTCAAATATATCCTCACCGCTTTGGCACCAAAGGGGTTCGCTTCTGGCCTCCCACCGTTCTCCTCGTAGGCGGCTCTGAGCCGTCCGATGAGCGCGTCAAGGCTGCCCCAAGCTTGTTTCAGAGGGCAAGCACATGGTGCCGGAGGGTTAGGGTGGCCGAAGTAGGGACAACCAGTCACGTGCACCTTCGTCTTCCCGAACTGGTCAAGGTACTTCAAGAACTCGATCACGTGAGCTCCGCTGCACCGTGCTAGTGTCAACGGTGGCTTGTGGTTCCTCAAGTACTGCAAGAAAGTGTTCCAGTCTCGACGCTTCTGCGACTCGTACCGACTCGGTGGTGGTGCTGATGCTGATCCACTACCCTCTGCGGTGGCTCCTCCTCCTCCACTACCACCACCAATAGCAGTTGTCGATGATGGACCCTCTCCTCCATTCGGGTCCGGTGCTCCGGCTCCTGATGCTGAATCCATTTGCCTATCTTTCCTCTACACAATGGTGGTCGCCAATAGTTTTCACTTTTCTTGAGCAACTGGGTGATCACTTCAGAACAATAATTCTACAATTATGGTTCTATTGTCCCTTTTGTGACTAGTCTGTGAAGATGGAACTCTTGACGGGTGAGGCAAGAGTTCTCTGTTACTTTCGATTATTGGGTCTCCAAATCTAGTGTTTCTTTTTTTTTCTTTAGGGAGAGGTAGAGAGATTTCGGGGAAGAAATGAGGAGAGAGAGAGAAAGGTTGAGCGGATGTGATGGGACGTCCGAATGAATTGTACCTGGTTGAACCGAAGAAGTGAGACTGTTCTCTTTTAGAGAGAGAGAGAGAGAGAGAGAGAGAGAGAGAGAGAGGGTAGAGAAAGACTGTTACTTGGTGAAGACGGAGAATCCTGTAGAGAGAGAATTCAAGTATTCACGCTGTGGCCCCTCCGACATGACATGTTTACTATTCAACCCCGGCGGCCCCTCCACTTCCCGCTTCCTGTTATGCATACATCTTTTTTGCATACAAACACCACGCGCTTTAAATCGATGACTGACCAGCAAACTCTCCGGCCTCCAAACCCAAACGCTTAACCATTTAATTATACTAAATAGTATTACCTCTTTTTTCGAAAAGGGTCCATTTCTCTTGGTCTACCTCGACCTTAATATCTCCGATAAAAAAATTCCCACAATTGATAAAGATATTTAATTTATAAAAAAATTGCTCTAATACCGCTAATTTTAATCTTGTAGCATAAATCTTATAACTACGTACAATGTCCTTCCCCAATCAATGTGGGGTGTGACAAAATGATTCAAAGAGAATAGTTATTCATATATTATAAACACTATACTATAAAGTCTAATCAACAAAGCAAAAGAAAAAAAATTATATTTGAGATGAAATCTAATTCTGGAAAAAAAAATTGTCGGGCAATAGAAGGGGAGATAGTTTATCATCAGAAAAGTAATTCAGTAATGTAGACCAGTTATTCAACTAAGTGTGGAACCAGTTATTCAACTAAGTGTGGAACGGGGAGGGGGTGTATAATTGAAAAAGAATAAAGAACGCAAGCGTATCAGAAGGGTGCATCGTGAATGGCACGTTTGGGTTTATTGATTATGTTTGTGGATTCTATTAGTAATGAGTGGTGGGTTTCATTAAGGTCAAATTTTCTCTAAACTCTATTGAAATGACCAATGTTACAAAACGGGAGAATAACTACTTGTCTATTAATATAATATCCCACGAAATGTGTACAAGCTTTAATATTTACTTTACTTTTAAAATGAAAAGAACAAAAAAGAAATTATAAAGCATAGGGAATCAAACCACCCTCAATTTGATTTGCAATTATCAATCTCAACTTCAAAATATGAAGGCAAGAATAAGGATTTGGTAACTAAGTAAATATTGGGTGTAATTGTGACACTACATCATCAACATCATATGATGTCACTAATCAATTAAAATAACAAATAGAATTGATAAATATCACTATTCCAACATAACAGTTATTAGATAAATTGGATACTAATTGTCATTAAAACAGCAGAGCCCATAAAGTCTATTTGCAATTCTATCACTGATTGGTGAAATCACGTGACATTAATAACGTGGTGTTACTGTTATACTCAATATTTTTTCCCACTGACCTACGACACTTTCTTGTCTCAATTAGTTGAATTTTTTTATCCACAACCAAATTAACTAAGTTGGTAATTTGTTTTCAAAAAAATTAGTTAGAGAGAGTGAGAGAAAGGTGAGAGATATTTTTGTCCAAACTTAGATGAGATTTGAATTCATAATATTTTTTTTTCTTACAATGTCATATTAGCACTTAACGAACTATATTTTGAAGAAAACCAAGAGCATAGATCCAAGAAGCACAAGCACCACAGAGCTTGGAGCGGAAGGATTAAACTAAGAGTAGAAAATGCATAAGTAGGTTGGTGATTGCTTACTCAGCATTACTGTTCAATTATCAAACTTAATTCACTACTCATTGTATTAACAATATGCAATTGGAAATAAAAGACCTCCATTTCATATGTCCATACTGGCTACGAATGCTATTACCATAACTTTCTACTAGCGGCTCCACCCATGCATGCACAAGATTTATAACCCTCTCTCTTTTTTTTTTTTTTTTGCTTTTAATTTTGTATCCTCATCCTTCTTCTTTCTCACTATTATCACCTGAAAAGTTAAATTAAGAACTTTTGGATTCCACGGGTAGTAGAATTGGTAGTAACTGATTCTTGGTGAAGGATACATGTAGAGTATAAGGGACACGGGATAAAATATGACGAGAAAGAATAATTAATTTTAAACATCATAATTTCAAATATTAAGAAATTAGAACAGTTGGAGAGAATAATTTAATGGGATTTTATGATGCTGGCCATATAGTCTTATTAGTGGATATCCCTAACATTAATTTCTTGGCACCCCTTTGATGTCATGCCAAACTTTGTTAGTGTTAGGTATGGGTGAAACCTGTATGAGCTTAATAGCCTGTATTAAGTTGCTCTGACTCTATGACACTTAACACATGTAATTTTTTTTTCTCTCTTTGTTTTTTTTTGGGTAAGATGCTTGAAATTATTTTTTCTTAATAATGTCGTAAAAAGCATGTTACATCATTGTATGCAAAGAAATAAAGGCTGAAATTTTAATTTTTTATCAAACTACAACCACTTACACTAATAGTGTGAAGGTCATAGTAGACTTATAAACACGCACACACCCTCTAAGATTATTCGATGTGGGATAGTCTCAATTCCTATCCTTCCAAACACTATGGCCCAAAGACAGTTGTCTCAAAGAAGACCTTAAATTTTAATTTGAGTTGAGAACCTTAAAAGACTTTTCGTATCATCAGGATTAGAGTTTGGATTCAACCTCTTCCACTCTTGTCTCTCACCGTGTGCAATAATGAAGTGTGAGCTAAATTGAATACAATAATCTTTACATATCTACTTTCGAAAAACATATATATATATATAGCGATTATAATATAGGGGAGATGGTGGTTTCATCGTACGACCTATGCAATCTCTTTGCATATTTTAATGATTTTAAATTTATCTCTTTGGATATTTTAATGATATTAAATTTAAAGTAAATCGCATCCAATGCCTCCCCTTCCGCAATTCATTCTAAAGCTCATGTCAACTTCACAATTCCACAAATTTTTTACATTATTTTAATGAAAATTAATATATATAGTTTATATATGATGTCTCACCACAAATGAGTCCTCATAATCATTCATCTCCTCATAATCAAAGGTCGCTTAGAAAATGAGCCCCAACCTAGAGTATATCCTAAGGCATAGAAATCATTTATAATTAGTATTTTATTGATGCACTAGTTTAATTAAAATAAATATACCTTTAAGTTCTGATGAGATTCTGGTCCATTTGATAATAATAACACGACTAACTATTAGAAGGTGATACATATAATAGGATTCTTCACACAAATTTATATTTCTAATTTTTCAAATATCCCTGACAAGAGCATTACCTATTGATCACATGGTTTAGGAAATGCATTTGGATAAAATTAAGCACTTCTTAGGAAAATTTGAACCTGTTCGGATGAGAAAAAAAAAAAGTTGTTTTTAAAATTTGTGCTATTTGCTAAAACTTTAGCATCAGTCTCGCAGTACCATTGGAAGAGTGGATAATCCATTGATGCTGGAGCTACTTCTAATTTTTTTGTACTTTAATTGCAATGTCTTTATCTTTCATGACAAAAAAAAACACAAATGTTCATCTCTTTAGTATAGATATTTAAACTTCGTATGAAAACAGATATGGGAACCACCCTAGAATAATGTGGATGACGATAATGAAATAACAATGCATATATAATATCTATTTTCGGTACTGGATTGCGACTGCTAAGGGATCAAGACATTACCATATTTTTTGGACTCTCTCACTTGGTGCTTTAGCCAATAACAAAATTTATAATTTTTTTAATTATAAAATTAATTGGCGGGACTTTAGGTGGCTCTACAGCCCCCGGGTTGACAAGTGGAATAATGAAGCCGTTGGGATATCCAGAGGGTGCCGAAGAGGTAAGTCGAGATATGGTGACACGGAGCAACCAAGTACGATAGCTGACATCGTATTTAATACAATGTGACCCCTTATTTATGGCGGAATGAGTGATAGTGACAAGGCAACTAAATGCGCGTCTGCTAGCACCTGCCCTCTGGGAGTCTAAGTCTACTGTCATGATGGCTAAGCATTAATGGCTGATGCGTCGAGACGATGCAATCGGTTCTCCCGAGGAACTGTTCCCCCCGAATATTCAATGCTCAGTTGATGTCAGATGTCGATCTGGAAGATTTGGGTACTTGGGGAGTGGCATAAATGCTCGGCATTTGACCAAGCATTTACCCCATTTTTCTAGCATTCAATAGGAGGAGACGTTGGTAGAAAACACTCATTACACGAGGAATGGTGTGTCAAAGGTAAGATGTCCAGATGGGATTGGAGATCTTTGACAATCATTGTTAATTCAGGTATAAATACTCCTTAGAAAAATAGACAAAGGTACGCAAACTTGAATCAGAAAAATAGTCCATTGAGCAAAACCTTTCAACCTCTTATTGACTTAAGCTTCAGAGGGGATTAGTCGGGCACTCGCCTGGCCCCATTTTTTCTGACCCTGTTGTTTCAGGTTCGCCAACTTGGAGATCGCTGTCTCATATTATTGCAAGAATTATCCCGTACAATTTGGCCCCGTCTATGGGAACGAAGGCATTTTTTTCGGTAGTGATCGTCTAATGGTGAACACTCAATTTCAGGGTGAAGGAGCAGGTATACGGGCCAGGAACACAGAGCCCGTCCGACTTCCAATGGTTCTGGAGCTGGGTTCATTGGGCCAATCAGATGGGGTGGGGCATTCTTCGTAAAGAACGCTCCCTATGGATCAGGGCCTTGGGGAGCGTGACCTCATGGCCCATGACA